CTCTTCCTGAGTGGCGGCTGCCCCAGGAGCTTTACACGCCCTACCCTGTCAGGTTTCCCTGTGCATCAGCTGAGCGAGTGCCAAGGTCCCAAAGCCCTGAGGCAGAGGAGCAGAAGGACATGCCCAGTGGAGGTGGGGAGCTGTCGGGTGCTGGGACCTGTCTGGTGCAACTGCAGGGGAACTCGAGTGGGCGGAGAGCATACGCGGCGGGGTGTCATCAGCATCTGGCACATGAGCCCTCTCGAAAACCCTACATGCTCAAAGGTAAACAAAAACCCAGCCAGGCGGCCACTATTCACTCTGTAAGTCAAAGGACAAAGTTGGCCAACGCTGGGCAAGCCGGTCATGCTGCCCATGGGCATATTTCATTGTTAAAACAGTGCCTGTCACCTCCGGTAACAACAGTACATAACTGCTCTTCTGATACAAGGTCCTCATCCAGCTCCGAGGTCCGCATCTGTCATCCCAAGGCCTGTGGCTGACTTGGTGGTTCTGCAACCATATATTCCTCCCCCAACAAAACTTACCCTCCTCCAGTCTCTGCATGACAGACAGAGAAAGAGCCTAAAAATTATAGCCCTGAGAAAATCCCTTTCCATCTGCATAAATGAAGCAAGAAGCCATTCATAGCCGTGCATCCCAGATACTCCTGGGAATACTTATTGTTCTACTAGCGGCTTCCAGTCACCCTGGGACCCGGTGGCTTCCCCACCCTGAAGACGGGTAAGGTGTCTCCCGAGAAAAAGCCAATTGTCCTTGTATCCCGACTCCACGTCAAAGGTGGAAACATTCCCCACAGTTTATCTTCTGGTCCTGGGCAGGTCAGCCTCGGGGCAGCGGGGCTGGCAGAATGAAGAGGAGTAAGAGATAAAATCAGAGAAGTGAGAGGACTTAGGTTGAGAAGGGCCTCATGGGCCATTATGAATAAGGACATTTGCTTTGACTCTGAGTCAGATGGGAAGTCGCTGCAAGGCTTTGAGTAGAGGGCGCCGAGATCTGATTTATGCTAAAAAGGGCTTCTCTGGCTTCCGAATTGAGAACCGTGAAGGAGCCAAGGGCAGAGGCAGGGAGAGCAGTCAGGAGAAATACTGCCATTGGAAAATCTACAGGACGAAAAGTAGACGGTTGCCTGGAGTGGGGGTGGGAGGATGAACTGCAAATGGGCACAAAGAATCTTACTGGGTGGCAAAAATACTCTAAAACTAGATTGTGGTGATGGTTATACAGTTTGTTAGATTTACTAAAAGTAATGAACTAAAATGGATGAATGAAATAGTATAGAAATTATACCTCAACCAAGTTGTTTAGGAAAAGATCTCTATGGGTGATAAAAGAGACATTTATTCAGAGAATCAAAGGTGGTTGTAGGTGACAAGTTAGCAGGAATTCCAGTAGCCCAGACAAGAAAGATCGATCTTGAACTTGGGAGGGACAAGTAGCAGGAATCCGACTGTGCCAGTTCTTCTAGGCCGGGGGTTGGCAAACTTCTTCCGTAAAGAGCCGGAGAGTAAATATTTCAGGCTTTGTGGGCCACCACGCTCCGTCCCAATTGCTCAGCTCTGCCATAGTAACGGGAACACAGCCTTGCAGAGTATGTAAATGAACGAGTGTGGCAATGTTCCAATAAAACTTATTTGTGAACGTTGAAATTGGAATTTCATGTCATTTTTACATGTCAAGAAATACTCTTCTTCTTTGGATTTTTTTCGACCCTTTAAAAATGTAAAACGATTTTAGTCCTTATAAAAACAGACAGCAGCGGGGCCAGGCTTGCCTTCCCTGCTCTGGCCACCTGCTGAAAGTGACTTCCGTTGGCCCACATACCCGTGATGCTCGGCGCACAGACCTCCACAACAGGAAGGGGAAATCATCGCCGAGTGATCTGGTTCTGTTTTTTTCAACACGTGTAATTACCGTTGGAAGAGATCACCCATCGTACACTGAATCGATGCTTTGTCATTCTGCTCACAGATTCTATTCAGCCCACGGCGTGGGCATTTTTCTCCAACGGAGTTGATCTTATTTCACTGTCCTGAGTTCTGAGTAGGATTATTATTCCATTTTCCCCCCTAGAGGATTGAAAGCAAAGTTATAAAGTCTTTTCCCACCCCCACTCTCTGTGTCTTTCACTAAGAACTCATATAAATCCCACGGCTCTGACTTAGCTCTTAATCTTTCTGGCTGCCTAAATTCTTTGAAGTTATTTATCCGGCTCGGGAGACAGGTAAGTCATATACTGGTGATATTTTAAAACCCTTTAGTTTCCTCTTCTCCCCAAACCATGAAGCCAGCTAAGGAATGCGACTGCCTAGATGCTGAAAGAGATGAGTAGAAGGAATCTGGGTATCTCTATCACTGATATCTACATCGCACTTAAGGGACGACTCCGTCCTTTGATGCTAGTCTGTTTCTTTCATGGTTTTTTTTTTTTTTTTTTCTCTTAAGCTATTGATTAGAATCTTAATGCAGTCATCAGCTGGGAGGATGTCCTCACATTTGTGATGAAGGAAACATGATCCAAAGACTCAGAATGAGGATAAAAGAGTGTCCTAAAAAATGTCTGGCAGCAAGGGAACAGCTCAAAAATCATACTTTCTTAGTGGCCAGCCAATCAGGGATTTGGGTGGCAAACAGACAGAGACCCCAGTCCTGGCTTTTCAGCTGCATGCCCTTGGGCCAGTTGCTTGTCTGGGGCTCAAACTATAAAATGAGAATAATCACAACTAAGTAGGGTTGCTTTGGGGACCAATGGATTTCCACAGGGAAAATTCTTTGCACATCAGATGGTCAACAAATATTAGATTCTTTACCCTTTTTTCTGTATTAACTTTCTTTGAAACGGCAGACCCTTTTAGAGTCGTCTCATTGGCCTTGGGGCTGACTGCATGAGTGTGAAGCCCAGAGCTGCCACTCATCTGCTTAAGGACCTTGGGCAAGTTGTCTGTCATCCCTAAGCCTCTGGGTCCTCCTCAGGAAGAGGAAGCTGATCCTTACGCTAAAGGCTGCTGAGAGAATGGACCACCAGAACGCATCATGCGGTCTCTCTGCGCTGAGAACGCATCATGCGGTCTCTCTGCGCTGGCCCAGGAGCTTCAGTGTCAGCGTCCGCCTGTCTGGGTGGGTGTCCTTCGGCTGCAGAGTACAGTGAAAAAGGCAGGGTCACTCGGCAGGCTAAGCTAACCGGCTGAGTGGTGATCCTTATCACTTGGAAGTAACACAATGTTTAATTAAGGCTCTGGCAGCTTTGTTCTTAGCATCTACCTTTCTATCTCTGGGGCCGCTGTCCATAAAACATGGACATATCATGAATTCATTTCACAAGACTCTGAGGCAGATTCCTGGCTCATCGGTCACAATGGCACTTCTCAGCCCTTCTTCCGGGAGTGTGACTGGTGTCTAACCCCTTCCATCCACCGAAATGCTTTAAAATCATCAATTCTGTTTGCTTTCAACATCAGAGCCATCCGTGGCAGCCCAGGATGATACTGTGAAGGGCAGAGGAGTAGAGCGGGACATGGTGAAAAGAGACACAGACTTTAGTATCTGAGGGACCACAGTTCAAGTCCCAGTCGTTCCCCTTAGGAGCCATGGACCATGAGCAGAGGCCTTTGCTTCTGAGCCCCAGATCCTTCTCTTGTGTGATCAGAAGATCAGTGTCTCTCTCATAGGGTGACTGAGAAGGTAAAATAACAGAGATGAAGCCCAAAAGCGAAGGCTACAAATTATACTCTTGGAGAGGGGGAAAAAATGAGTTTCCTCTACCCTCTTAGGTTCAAGGCCTGGGGCTCTGCAGATTCAATTGACAAAAGACAGGTTTACAGAAGAAAATGTTTAAGAATCTTGCTCCTTCGTAAGGCCTGTCTCTGTCCAGGGTAGCATCCGGAAGAAAACCACTCGCTATCTACGAAAAATTAAAAAGTAATGTCAATGTTTACTAGCATCTTTCGATAAAATTCCAGAGGTGAGTCCAGCTCAAACAGACAGCAGAAGTTCTTGAAATAGAATTTGCCATGAAGACGCTCAATTCCTAAGACATTATTTTTGACCCTACTTTCTTTTGATTTTTCTCCCCCTCCCACATTCACCTTCCAGGTGTATTTTATGCTCCACCAATGTGAAATTTCTTTTTTCAAATCGAGTCTGTACAGCCCGTATGTTAAATAGGTATTACGTTAATATCGGCACAGAGATTTTGTAAGCGTTCTGTGTGGTGTCTGGCACGCAGAAAGCACTCAGTAAATTGTCACCATTATTCTTATGAGTCTCTGCTCTGCTGCTTTAACTGTCACGCTGATTCTGCACAGCAAATTCCCAGGAGAATTGCTGGGACACAGTGCTGCCGAGGAGGAAAGAAAGTGTGAACATACACGCGAATATTAAATTTTTTCCTATTTATAAGCAGCAGTGATGCTGTATTTGGAGGGTATTTCCCATGGAAATGACATGGAAAAACCATGGAAGAGACACTGATTTTCTCTGAATATGCATGCAGGCCCCTGTCATATTCCCAGGTCTCCTGCAGCTATGTAGAGCTACATGAGTCATTCTGACACGGGCTGTAAATAAAAGCAAGCATGTCACTTCTTGCCAGAACATTTAAGAGTTGGCACATAATCTGCCAGCTCTCTCCCTTCCACTGCATGATGAATCAATGACTCAGGAGGCTGCACGGACCAGATGGAGAACTATAAGACAGTGGAGCCTCCATTAACCGGGGTCCCTGAGGGACTGTGTGGAGCAGTATTCCTCACTAATTTGCACCAGCAATGGACCGCGAACGAGACATCGACTTTTGTTGCTGCATTAAGCCAATGGGATTGTGGAGTTAGTTTGTTACCTCAGCATAACCTAATTATACAAAGCCTTTTACAGATTGTATTTCTAATGACCTCCCACACGGCGTTCTCAGGGAGATTGCACATCACTGTGCATAGTCATCCAGCCTGTTTCCTCCAAAATGCTCCCTTGCTTGCTTCCAGGTGGTCTAGAACATCACGAGCATGCCAGGCTTCCTGGTGCACGGACCTCCGGTGAAGCTGTGCATGGGCCTCGCATGTGTCCTGTCTGTTTGGAACACAGGTGGGTCTGGCTGTTGGAGGTCTGGGTATTCACTGTGCTTCACAGGCTGGCGGCAGCCAACGTTTCAGGCCAAAACAGAAATGGCTATAATAAATTCCCAATTTCCGGTTTTGTCCTTTGACTTTCTGGGTTTGAGTCTCATTTTTGCAACAGAATTATATTCTCTTCCACTGTATCAACTCTTGTCCAAACCATTATCTGCTCTTTCCTAGACCTCTAAATCAGCTCCCGCTTCTCTTGTATTTTCATGATCCACTCACCAGCCCGAGTGATTTTTCTGTAAATTGCATTCTGTCACCTTCAAGTTTCTCCCTCATTTCTTCCTCCTTCAAAAAAAAAAAAAATTGTTCAATGACTCTACTTCTTTTGGAATAGTGTCCCAAGTCCTCTACATGATCTAGATGACCCTGCCCACTGTCGCTGGTTCCTGCAATCATCCATCTCCCTCATTCTCTATGTTCCATCATCGTTGGCTTCTTTTGGTTCTTTAAAGTAATACTCATGCCCATCTGAGAGCCTGGGCACGTCCTGTTAGCTGTACACTGAATAACCCCTCAGCCAGTCGACCTACTCCAGTGCTGCTTACTCTTCAGATCTCAGCCGAACGCTACCTCCCAGGAAAGCTTTCAGGTCACTGAGGTTAGATCAAGTTCTCTGTTACACACCCTCAGACTGCCCTTCAGAGAATCTAACGTTCTTCGTAATAATATCCTGAGTCTTCACTTCCTCGATGACTGCCTTCCCAAAGAGGCCATCGGCTCCAAAAAGGTGGCGTCTGTACCCATTTATTCATCATACTATCCCACGTCATCTAACACACACAAAGCCTATTAAAGGCCAGGTGCTGAATAACATTATCAATCATTAGTATTATTATAATTGGTCAATACATATTCGCTGCTTAAATAACTGAATGAATGAACAAACTATGCGTGAGATTTTTAGCAAGGCACTTTGCTATTCCAAATGATAATGTTCTCATTTTTAAATGAGTCTTTCACATTAATTCTTTCTGAGGTCATCTCTGGGTTATAATTTTTCTGATGAAAACTTTTCCATTTTTGTGTCTGCTGTTAAAGGAGAAGCCAAAGAGGAAAAGGTCATGACCTTCCTACCTACGACAGGTAAATGGGCAGAGGCTCCTTCCTAGCTCACTCTGCTTCGGGCTGATTTCTCGTCTTCTCTGAACCTCACTTTCCCAATCTGTAAAGTGAAGCGTGTGTCTATCTCAACCTCTAACAGTCCCAGTTACAGTTCTTACTGGTTTCTCGTTGCTTTACGGTTCACAGAGCACCTGGACTCTCATAATCTTATTAAACTCGCAGAGGCCGAGACATTCTATTAGCAACAGAAGATTTCATAACGGAGGGTATTGATATGGGCCGTCATCGCCTCTGTAAGAATTCCATCTTGGCCCTGTTCTGATGGTTCTGTTTTGATTGGCTGTGCAGCAAGATGGTGAACGCACTGTAACATGAAGGGCACGTAGGAGTCAGGGGCAGAGTTTCTGTTCCTAGCTTTTGGGTAAATATGCAGGATAATTTGGGGGTACGGTTTTGGTTTGGGGAAGGGAGATGAGGATTACTCGTTATTTTTAAACGTTTATTTGTTTTTAATTGGCGCATTTAGTTGGTACATGTGGTTCAAAATGCGAACGGTACGAAAGTGTATAAACTTAAAATGCTCCCCCAGGCAGCCACCCCCATTCCCCAGAGGACCAGTTGTATCAATTTCTTGTGTCTAAGCAGAGTGATTTTTCAATAAATATTTCCCATACTTGAGCCTCCAATTTCTTCCCCTTTAAATGGGAATACAATTCCTGTTTTTTGAGTAATTATAAAGGATAGAAGGTGACAAAATACTAAGGATGATTAAGTATGAAAAGTACCAGTATCTTATATTTTAAAGATACTGCGATGGTGGTTTTTTTAATCCAGAAAGAGGACAATAGTTTTATATTATCTGTCTGGCGATTTATCTGAAAAAAAAAAAAAACAAAAAAAAATGCTTCTGTTTAGCCCCCTATTCAGAAATCCCTGCTTCAGGTATGTTTAGTTCACACTTCAAATGTTGTTACCCAAATCCACCCACTGATTTGTAATTATAACACCGCCCCCCGTACCCATGCTAAAGGGATGGGGCCCCAGAGCCCCCACCTACCGCTAACCCCAGAGCTCTGATACTTAACCAGAAAGCTTGACAATCGGTGAAAGGACAAATTGGCCGACAACAGTTGACTGGACCTGGGTTCCAATAGGGTACTTGAAAAGCGGGAACAACCTAAGTGTCCATCCGCAGGTGAATGGATAAAGAGAGTAAGGTATTCGCATACCGTGGAATATTATTCAGCCTTCAAAAAGAAGACAGTCCTGCCATTTGTGACGACATGGATGAGCCTGGAGGACATCGAGCCGAGTGAAATAATCCAGAGGCCGAAGGACAAGTACTGTGCGACACCACTTCTGCGAGGGATCTAAAATAGTCCGACTCATGGAAGCGAGGGGTCGGGGGGAGGGCGAAACAGGGCTGCTCGCCGGAAGTGAGATTTCAATCCTTCACTTCCCTTTCTGGGCCTCGATTTCCTCATGCTTCTTAGGGAGTGTAGCCTGAGATGACTCGTAAGGAGGTTATAAATCGTGTGAGGCTGTGTTTTCACAAGACTGTTTTACTCATGAAGACTTGTATTTCAGTGTCTGGAAATAAGTTAGGAAGTTAAGAAGGAAAATGCTGGGTCTTTGCTTGGTGCCACAGCCCGACCTTAAATCCCGGCTGACTGTGACACTGTGACTCGGGGGTGCACTGTTCAGCTTCCCTGTGCCTTGGTTTCTTCCATCTATAAAATGGGCATAAAGCACCTTCTCCATTGGAATGCGACATGGAAAATAATCGTTGCAACAATAATAGTAACAAACGCTGTGTGATTCAGTGGCATCTCATCCCAAGCGATAGATCTTTTAGGCCTCGGCCTTACATTCCTTCCACAGGGGCCTTGTCCACGCCTCGGACCAGGCTGGGTGCCCTGAGGGAGGTGCTCACAGCATCCCACTGCTCCCTGTTTGATGCTCCTCAGGTGTGATTCCAGGTGACTCTCCCTCCTCCCACCTGAGCCACAGACAATGAGCTGCACGGAGGCGGACACCTGGTCCTTTCCCCTTGACCTCTTTACCCACAACTCCGAGCAGACCGTTCGGCCCTCAGCGAGTGTTTGTTGAATGAATAAAAGATAAATGAACGTGTAGCATTTCAAATTTTCCTTTGACGTTTTCTTCTTCAATAGCGTGAATTTTGCCAAGCGGGCAAGTAGCCTGATATTTTGCGGAGGTCAGTGGTCTGCACCTCCAGCAAGCAGTTTCGATTCCTTCCTAATGGGGCTCAGCTGTGCAAAAAGTTAGGCAGATTTCCTTCCCACTCGAAGCCTCAGCTGCCCTACCCAGTAAGGGGGTGAGGTAGATCAGCCCCTCTGCACCAGAATCGTTTTGCTTATTTATTAAATTGTGCATTTCTAGGCCACACGCAGCCCAAGGAGACTAGAATCTTGGGGTGGGACCTGGGCTCCTCCTCTTGACAATGTCCTCATTGACTCTCACAGTCATTGGCCTGAGGCCTCTGCAGCACCCTGGGGCTGGGGTTGGAAGCTCCCATTTCTCCCCTGAAGCCTTTTCTCTTCCCAGTGTCTGACCTCGGAGGAGCGGAGAGGAAGGAAAAGGGGGTGGCGTTTCTGGACACCACAGGTGAGTCCCCAACCCTGCAGGTCTCTGTGGGTGGCCTGGGCCGCTGAGCAAATCCTCCCACTTCTCCAGACCCCGCTCCCGACCCCCATGCGAGGTAACGGCATCTCTCCAGTCTTCAGAGTGCTTTAGTCATACAGGTACCTGATATCAAGTAAAAGTTGAAAAAGCCAGTGTTTATAAAAATAGAAAGAAGGGCGTCCACTGCTATTTCCACCTGGTCAACTGTTTCCAAAGCTTCAGGAAGCAGCTGGGAGGAGGGAGGGATTGAACGCAGCGGCGTCTCTCTACTCAGCTGCACAATATCTGGACAAGGATTGGTTAGTTGATTGACTTTGGTCCTGATGTCTGGGCCACATCCCAGACCTATTAAATCTGAATCTCTGCAGTTGGAGCCCAAGCACTGGAATTAAAACAATCTTTGTGGTGATACTCGTGCCCAGCCACGTCTCTGTCAGACGGGAGGTTCTGTCCACGTGCAGCATGTCCATTTCCTGGGGCTCTCACTGTGTTTGAGCGTTCCCCACCAATCGCTACTCTGTCCAATGCAGAGATAAAATAGTCCCTAAATGAGTGTTCCTTATCATGACACATGCCATTGGCTGTCCCCTGCTGAGGACAGGGACTGCCTTTTGTCTTTGAACTCCTTGTGCCTGGCACAGGCTGTGACTTCAGTAAATGTCCAAAGAGGAGGCACGTCTGCCTGAATACCGGAAATGAGGCGCTTTTTCCGATGCCAGCAGAAGCCTGCCGGTAGCGTTGTCTTCGAATCTCTTTCAGAGCTGCCTGCAAGGTCGGTGGATCTGTCCGAACTTAACCTGACAGAACTGGTGAATGGGATGCTGGGCAGAGCTTTGAAAGGTAGGCTTTTCTTAAAAGCACAACCATTTTCGTTCTGTATGTAGCATCTTCACTCCCGGACTCTCTGTGACCTGGGCGAGGCACGTCACACCCGTGTCCCAGCTTCTCCCTGTTCAGAGTGGAGAAGGCGTTGTCCTACCTAACTCGAGACAATTGAAAACACCCAAAATAGGAGGTTTGCCACCATTTCCAGAGCAAGCTATATTCCAAACGCAGCATAGAAATGTGCTGGCATTTCTAATCGTAACTATATGGTAAGAGAATTGCCAGGGCTTAAGGACCCATCGGGAAATACAGCCAAGTGACATGTGTTTTTGCATGTTTTTGTTTTGTTTTTGATTATTAGCTTCGGTTTCTATTATTTTATTGTTTATTTTCTTTATCTATTTTTATTATTTATTCATCGTATTAGTAATTTCTGTTATCCGTCTACTCATGGCCATTCTCGTTCATCACATAAGACAAATTTGCCCGACGGTCTCTTTATCTTGATGTCGCTGGCAGGTAGCAAGCAATTCCTCTCCTTGCTGAGCATTACTTCCTACAGTTCCTTCGCCTTCCACAAGTTTTCTGTGGCCGTTTACAACAGTAAGTGCTGCCCGGCGCTTCTACGTGAGCGATGATGGGAGCGATGGGCCGGCCGGGCCTGGCTGAGTCGCCAGGGCTGCTGTGTGGACCATTTCTCTTCCCAGTTTCCAACCTGAAGACCGTGGACCCAACGAAATTCCCCACGCGGTACTGCTACTGTTTGAGCAACCGGACCAATGGCTTATCAGGTGGGTGGGACTAACCATGACCTTGACACTCTCCAGATTTTGCTTGTGCTCTTTCAGATAAGGCCAAATTAATTTTTACTCCTCAGAGTGAGATAAGAAAATACAGAATCATGCTTAAATATGTGCACGTTCATCATGCCAGAAAGTTCTCTTCTTGAGTTTTACTCTAAAGAAATAGGTATGTCTGCACGAGAGAGACAAGAACAAAATGTTCATGCAGCATTATTTTAATAGCAAAATCTAAGGAAAATGGTTAAATAGTCTACCGTATAAACAAACTTCAGAAGACAACCATAGACAATACAGGTGAATAGGTGTGGCCGGAATTGGCCTACATTTGGAAAAATTTCCCTGACATTTTTAATTAGAAAAAGAAAGTTACGAAATAATATATAGAATACACTGTTCTTGATGACAAACTATATACAGATGTGGGCGCCAGATGGATGGTTACCTCTGAGAAGAAGATCAGAATGCTCATTTTGGAGTAGAAGAGTGTCTGTCGATTAAGGGGACCTGGTATTATCCGATTTTTTTTTTCAATAAGAGTATATTCATGTATTACTTTTATAATTAAAAATTAAAAGTATTACATGTTCCTTATATTTAGGGGAGCCTGAAAAATAAAAATGAAAATTACTCTTCCACGACTGATTCATTCATTCAACAATTCTTTACTGAACACATACTATTAGCCTCTTCCCTGTGGAGGTACCACGCTGAGCAAAGCGGACAAACCCACCTCCCCACTTTCGTGGAACTCAGATACTGTGGGAAGGGACAGAAAATAAATAAATAAAGTGAAAACACAGCGCGTTGGCTAATAGCGTGACGGTGAGAACAATAAACCAGGGGGGAAGGGTGAGGAGGAAAGTGATAATAGGGATGGCCGCTGTGTGCAGGGTGGTCAGGGAAGTCTTAATGAGGTGGTGACTGAGGGGTGACCTGCAGGAAGTGGGGAGACAGCCCTGTGGTACCTGGAGATGGAGCGTTCCAGACAAAGTCCAGGCAGCAGAGTGAGAACTGGAGAGGCAGTGAGCTGGAGCAGGCAAGCCAGGGGAGAGAGCTGTAGGTAGTGCGCTCAGAATTGTAGGGCAGAGGCAGGAAGGGTGTTGCAGATCATGTAGAAGTTTATAGAATAATGGAGGGTGGGGGGAATGAATTGGAAAAACCATTATTCAACAATATGGCCTTGCAAAGCTATTTGTGTTGGCAGAAGAGGTCTGGGGGTGAGGGCAATGGAAAGGGATGGAGATTATAGTAATGGGTCCACAAGTTTTCTGCCTGTCTGAAGCTAAGACTTTTTTTATATATATAATTAGTCATCTTTCTCTGAATGATTGTTAATATTCTTCAATTCACGGAACTGAATCAAGTAGATTTATAAAATCTACTCTGAAAAATCCAAATACAATATATGATTTCCCTTAAGTCTCTGAGCTTTATTCCAAGTCTTAGAAATTTAAACCTTCTCAATCCATCTTGCAGATTTCACAGCCCTGCTAGTGGATGTCATCGGAAATTCTACCAGCTACCTCACAGAGATTTTTAAGTCCACCTCCATCCTCTCAGGTATGTTTATCTTGAAAATGCTTGGCAAATCTGTGATTTAGCATCCGTCAGGGAATGTCATCAAATCTAGCAGACCTCTCCACTCCAACCCCTGCCATAGGCCAGGCTGCTGGGAACTTTAGTGTACGTTTTATTCAGACAATCCGTGTGGTCCAGTTTCGACCACCAGCATCTGACGTTTCCATCTTCCCATCAGAGCTATTCCTGGTGTCCAGAACATTTGAGGAAGATTCCAAGGCCTGAAGTTGGGGGAAATGTAGGCAGGCTCAAAAAACCGGCTTCTGTTAGACAGCTATGCTCCCACTTTAAAGATGAGAACACTGAGCTTCAGAGAGGTTGAATGTTTTGCTCAGGGTTGTTCAGAATTCAAATTCTGATCCACATGGGGCCTAATGTCTGACGTACAACTGAGAAAGACCGGCTCATGTAAAAGGCAGCTTCGTAGAACCTCCAGACAATTCACTTCCCCTCAGGGACTCACTTTGCAAAGCAGAGATCTAATCAATAGCCCAACACTCGGTCTCATCTGAAAGATGGTGTGCTCCCCTAGGGAGGAGCTATTGTTTTAGAAACAGGGAGATGGGGAGAAAGGATTAAGAATAGACGCCATTACATGGCGGGGACTCGTCTTCCCACCACCCCCCCCCATATTCTCTCACTGGGTCCTCACTGCCACCTTACTGGGTTGCTACCGTATTTATCCCCACTGTACAGGTGCGGAAACTGTGGCACACAGATGTTAAGTAACCCGCCCAAGATCATTCTGCAGAGCTCGAATTCTAACCCAGGCGATCTGGGTCTGAAGTCCAGGCTCTCAGTCACTACGCTAATACATATAATAACAGTAGCACATTAGAAGTGACAATAATAATTATCATGACTGTTGACTGAGCTCTTCTATCTGCCAGGCATCTCACTCCGTGCTTTACGCACACTGTCTCATCGGATCGTCACGGCATCCTACCAGGGATGTGCCGCATGTCCACAGTCCTTTGGGCAGCGTCTTTGGGGACAAGTATGTTTAGGAATTCAGAAGTTTTCAGACTTTTGAAGGTCCATTAGGGTGTGTGCCCCTTACATGACATAACACCTCCAGCAGCATCCAGGACAGCCCGCATCAAACACACGCACATTCATTTAGCAGAAGGGTTGGCCCTTTATGCTAAGCGGAATAGATGAAGACTGCAAACAGCCTGACCTCAAAGCCTGTCAAGTCAGGTTTGGCCACCAAAGGAGTTTGGGTACCAAACTTACACAAAACCTTCCACCTTACAGAGATTTGGGGATTTGGACATTGCAAATAAGGGACTATGGGATTTGAATTTTCACCATTCTAAAATGGATAATTGGGTCTTAGAGAGGTTGAACCACCCTCTTACAGTCACGTCGCTAGTTGGTGGTGGAGCTGGTGTCATAGTGGAAGAAGCTGACTCCAGGGGCTGTGCCTTTAGCCATTACGTTACACTGCATCCCAACCCCCTCCCCCCCAAAAAAGACACAGAAAATCAAGGCTGCATCAAAAGTAAGGAAGCAGCCTATTTTCCTATAGTGTCCTAAGCTAGGAATTTCCAGCTTAATTTTCATTTTGACCAAAACCTTCACAGCTTCAGACCCATTGCTAAGTCTTGCATGCTGCTTTGTCTTACAGTGAGTCAAACGAACGCATCCGACTGCATCTTCATCTGTGTGATGACGGGAAAGTCAGGTGAGGCTTCAGCCGTTCTCTGACAAGCTCTCTGAGCTGAGAATTAAATGCAGCCCTCCAGCAGGCGAGCCCAAGATTCGATCCCGTTGGTGACACTTTTGCAGGAAGGAACCTTTCTGATTTCTGGGAGATGGCAGAGAAATCTCCTGTTATCAATTACACGTTTACCAGCAGCCTGTCTGGCGTTCTGGGTGAGTGTGAACCCCCCAAACTCCTGCTCTGGAGTCTCCAGACCAGGGTTCTATCTGGCAAGCTGGAGACTCTGAATGCCCCCCGCGGGTATTTTATTCAACTATATGGTGCTGAATTCAGAGGATTTGGTCAGTTTTTAAAAGTTTTTGACTTTCTAGATTTTTTTTTTTTTTTCAAAAGAAAATCTGGCAAACCTGGGCATCCCCATGGCATTGAGTAGCTGGAATAGAGTAGCAGCTGTCCCCATCCCCCACTAAGAGGGACACTTTCTCCACAGTCATCTCAGTTCCCTGCTGCCTCGAACTTCTTTTCTCATATTAACTACCTGGTTTCGTGTGTATCTGAAGGTGTGACTTTGCTGTAGACATCGCCACTCTATAGCATTCAGCCCCTACCCAACCATCCTCCACCCATCCACACACACACCTGTCTTTCTCCTGACCAGGTAGCGTTTTGGGAACCATATTTAAGCCCTCTCTCTCCCCTACACTTAACTGTCATTTGTAGCTGAATAAAGTGTCCCGAATCTGGGTGTCCTCCACGATTATCTGCTGCTGCTGCGATTATCTTAGTCCAAGTCACTGTCGTCTACCTTTGGACTGTAATAGCCTCCTTGACCCGATCTCTTATTTCTCTAAGTTATCCATCCGCCGCCATAAGAGTGATAGTCTTAAAATTATTGGGTCATGTCTCGTCACTGCTCAGAACCCCCAGGTCAGCAGCCGAGGGTCTGCGGTACTTCACATGGCATATATCTTTCTCTGTCACCAAGCCCATGTCACCTCCTGCTCTTTTCCCATGAGTCTTCTGTTAAAATGACATCGACGTTCCTACCTTTCCTTGCAGCTGGCGTACACCTCACGCCCCTGCAACTTCGCTCATGCTTTTACCTCAGTCTAGAACCCCTTCTCTGCTTTTCCGTATTTCAGAACCCAAATTGTCTGTCGGTCTCCAGATCAGCTGCTGCCTCCTCCTTCCTAAAAAATCTCCCCATCGAGATGAGTCTTCTACCCTCTCTGATCCTAGAGCATAGCACTTGTACGTCATTGGATCTGATCCTACAGCATAGCACTTGTACGTCATTGGAACTCTCCGTTACCCCAGGTCGTACCTCAGTTGACGTACGTGTGTCTCTTCGCTGACTGTCACTCGAAGGCGGAGGCCAAGTCTGCCTCCCCGCTCAGTGCTTTGCCCAGTACCCTATAAAGAGTAGGTTCTTTAGCAATGTTTGGAGCGAAATGAAATTAACAATAAATCTCCAATTCCATTTCGGTGGGCTACCTCGATTTGTATTTATTGTAGGGCATCTCTTAGCTATGCCGAAAAAGGACCTCAGCGTGTGTGGAATGAGGCTGCTTGATAAGGCGATGGAATGGGCATTTGGAGGGTCCTCTTCGCCCGTGAAATTCTGAGAACATATCTGAGGATTGAATCAATCTCACTTCTTCGGAGATTCCTTCCATGACCTTCCTAACCCCAATCTCAATTATGTCTCCCTTTTGTTTCTCCTTCAATGAAGTTCTCCAAGCAACAGATGCTTGGGAAGAGAGGCCATATTGACAAGTTGACACTGAGTTGGTGTGCTGACACACAGTCACCTGGTTGAGTGACCGTGTGATCAGGAGGCACTTAGTCCCATGTCCAATTAATCGGGGAGTGAGGTCCAGGTTGCTGCTACATGTGGGGGTGTTGTTGAGCCCAGAAGTAAAGCAGGGGAGAGGAGACGAGGCTGCTGGGCCGCCATCTACAATTTCAAGGTCCTGCTCTCCACACAATTATCTGCCGAAAGGGCAGGTGGGGACTGAAATCACACCATTCTGTGGGCTAGTGGGAGCCTGTCGCCCTAGCATCCAGCCCCCATGGCTTAAGCCTTCCCAGGGGGAAACAGGGAATATGAACACGTGGGCCTCTTCCTCCATTTATTTCTTCACGGGGCATCCAGTGGCCCTGGGTGCATCTCCCTCTGAATCAAGCCTCCCTGCCATCTCTGTGGGGGCCTGTCTTTGAAGTAGTTTCCTCCTAACAGCCCCCAATTCCACCTTTGGTCTGCAGTAGCACCCACAGGGCACACGGAGCAAGTATAGTCCCCCTTCCGGGGACAAGGCCAGAGCCACGGAGGAGCTGAGGGCTGCACGGTGGGCCCGAGACCTGGCGGGTTTCAGGTTCCGATCAGGAAACGCATCGAATGCCTGACACTTTTGGGTCTGACGGCTCCGAGTCTGTTCACTGCGCTTTGAGTGGCTTTCTCAGACACCGATATTTTAGATTAATCTGTCATTCGAGGAGAAAGCTTACTCTGGGGACATATGGTCCTGGTCCGAGTCGGGCTTGGATGTCCGCATTCTGAATGTTTGCTGTGCAATGACCTTTCAGTGGCACAAGGGTTGTTTGTGTCCAAAGTGCCGTTCTGCATATTAAAGCTGCCCCGATGTCCCCCTGAACGTGCAGCCACCAGGGATAGGCCGGCGACTTCGGAGCTCTGGCCCACAAGCCAGGAAGCACCACCGGGAACCAGCCCTCCGCGCCCAGCACAGACGACCAGCACATCTGCTCCGACAGCCTCTCCCGGCACAGAGCCAGCGCGGGTGGTGAACACGGACAGGCAACCTGAGCTTCTCACGGGGACCGCGGCCACGCCAGGCAGTGACACCCCCACCTTCCCAGCCTGGGGTGAGGAGCTTTCTCCCCGCTTCCTCTCCTGCCCTGTTTCTCCTTCCTGCTCCCTCTAGGCTCATGTGAATCAGTGCGGTCCTTCCCTTCTTCCTGTCTCCACCGACCCCTTTCCCTCCTCGGCCTCCCTCAGGTAAGAGATCAGTGGGAGCCAGCGCAGGCTCGAAATGGACAAGCAAAGACAACACGTGTCGCTGATATATATTCTTCTGACATATGTAGAATTTTTTATTTTGAAATAGTTTCAGACTCATAAGAAGTTGCAAACATAGTACAGAGCGTTCCCTGGTCCTTTGCACCCAGCATCCCCCAATGAGGGTATCTTACAGACGTGAAGTATAGTATAGCATAAGGGATTTTATTTCAGCGAAGCATTTAGCAATCTCTCTCTTGAAATTCATGCTAAATGGTGAAACGCAGTCATTTTAGGGCAGGGTCAGGTTAATGGGTAGCTGGCTGGATGGCGATGCCACGAATATGTTAATGACTCGATGCCTGCGTGCAAAGCTGGTGGCTTGCCAAGAGGTTGCCCCTTCCTGCAATCAGTGGCATCGCCACTGAAGATGCAAAAAGCATCCTTAGCCTATTCGGAAATATGATACAACTGAGATAACTCTTTCATTAAGAGTCAGCAGTGTCTCGGTGAGTTCCAACAGTGGACAGAGTCACCAGAATTCATTCATTCATTCATTTATTCTTCACTCATCAAGATAAGTAAATACCAGACCCCAGGCCAGCTGCGGACAACGCAGCTCTGTCAACGCTCCCTGTCTTTCCTGAGCTCACAGACCAGGGAGGGAGACATAGGCAAGTAAATCGGTGGTTGTGATCCAGCCTACAAAGGGTCATTGTCCCAGAGTCCTGGAGAGCCTGGAGGAGGGGCTGCCCCGAGCGGGCGGAAGTGACAGGGGGCAGGGGAGGCAAGAACAGGCAAAAGGAGTCAACTTCATTAACTGGTAAAGTCCTTAGAAAAAGAGCCAGCATCGTGACAATTATGCCAAATTAGAAAGTTTTCTGGTATAATATGAAAAAAAGGATGTGTTTGCTAGTGGCAAGAAAAATAATAAGACATCTAGCTATATTCCTAACAGAAAAAGTGCTGGTTTTATGTAAGAAAAACTACAAAACTTTGATGAAAGTAATAAAACCACATGTAAATGAATGAAGTGAAATACTGTGCTCTGGGTGAGAAATCTGAATACTTTTAAAGATGGTAACGGTTCCCAACTCAACTCAGAGATGTAAAAACCTCCAAAGGGACTCATTTTGAAGAACTTGGAAAAATGATTTTAATTCCTACCATGGGGATAAACAAGTGAGAACATTTAGCAACTGTTTAAAGCAGCGGTCCCCAACCTTTTTGGCACCAGGACCCAGTGCCCCTACGAGAATCTGATGCTTAATGATCTGAGGTGGAGCTGAGGCGGTGATGCTAATTCTGGGGAGCGGCTGCAAATACAGATGAAGCTTCGCTCACTGGCTCGCCGCTCACCTCCTGCTGTGTGGCCCGGTTCCTAATAGGCCACAGACCGGTTCGGTCCACGGCCCAGGGGTTGGAGACCCCTGGTTTAAAAAACCAATGAGAGAAGATTTGTCTTAATAACAATCTTGGGATGTTGTAAGGTATTATTATTAGCATTATCATCTCTATTTTAATGATGAAACTAAAAAGAGTTTAGTAACTTGCCCCAAAGTCCACAGCCTTGAGGAAGCAGGAGCAGAGCTCACCCCTCCAAGTCCCCTCACCTCAAACCCCAAAACCTTTCTACTGTGTCACATGGTTAGAAATGTATTTCTTAATATTGAAGGAGCCCACCATCCCCCAAGTACACACACAGCTGATTGTTTGGGTGTCTAGGGGATTTGGAGATTTTTTTTTTTAATTGGTAGTAAGAAAAATAAAGTTTAGTTTGGGCCACATCAGGCAGCGTTATTCCAGTTCGGGGTAGAGTTTAAGCTCCTGGATTATCTGTGTTATGCATGCGCGTTACATTTACCCTTTAATTACATTTCGATGTCTTGTCCTTATATATCTGAATCGAAGTGCTCAAGCTGAAAAAAGCCCTGTTACTGTCACTTGTGCAGCTACCAGGAAGGTGTCCGGAACTCCATGGGTGACAGCCAATGGGCAGGCCTGGGCTCCCACATCGCCTGTGCACAGGGCTCAGACCGTCAGTGAAAAAACACCAGCCGGATCCCCGTGGGAAAAGCTGTCCTCTACGAGGACATCAGCTGCTGAGGCCGAGGAGGCCGTGACCACGCGGGGCCCTGCCAGGCCTCCTGCTAGGACAGTGGCCACCCGTGACAGCCCGTCCCAGACCAGCCCAGCCACAGGTAAGAGCGGATGTTCCCTCCAGCCTCCCCCCTGTTTAAACTGAATACAGCATTGTCTGCTTTTAAAACATTTTCTGAATTTTTGAAATATAGTACACATGCAGAAGTGTAAGTTAGCAGCATAATTAAAAACCATAAAGCAAATTCTCTCTCTTTCTTTTTTTTAACCCAGTTAATTTCCCATCTTGAAATGAATGAATGAAAACTCCCTCTTCACAGGAATGTCCCACCTCCTCTCTCTTATGTACCTTCCTGATGGTTTTTCTCGTTTTTCCCTGTCCGTTAAACAAGTGACTGCAAGAAGCTGACTTTGTTTGCTCCAAATGACTCAACTGCTTGGCCTAGTATTCATATACATTAATGTTACAGAAGTCACATATATATTATATATGTGCAATGTAATATAACATTATTTACATGAACAAATATAGAGTATTAATATGTAGTCATGTAATATGAGGAAGGCCTAAGCTCTACGAGACACTTGAAAAATTACCCAGTGTGATTCCACCTCTATGTGTGTATATGTATGTATGCGTGTATGTATGCATGTGCGTGATAAATATGCACAGGCAAAAGAAAACATTATAAAATAAGACTGAAACGAAATTCGCAACATAATAACTTTGACTATATCTGAGTAGATATGATTTTTATTTTTCTTCACTCTAGCGTTATGAATTTTCCATATTTTCTACTCTTAAAATCAGACCCCTCCTCCCAAAAAAATGTTTATTTGTTTTAAAAATCGCTTCCTCTGAAACCTGCAGCCAGAGGCCCTTCTTCCATGCTCGCCACAGTCAATGGATCATAACACGCATCCTTGTTAGGCTGTTAGTGTTCATGAACTTGACCTTCCTTTCCTGTGGGCTATGCTCTCCTCAAGGGCTGCATCTTTAATCTCCAATTCCCGGGAACCTGTAGGCTTTCAGTAAAAGTTTGTTGAATTACCTGAATTTCTCAAGAAATAGAGGGAAAGGAGGAGATGAATCTTAATGGGCATAAAAGTCAAGTCTTGACTTTAGGCTCAAAATCTCAATTGCACAGACAGATCTGGAAATACGATGTCGATGGCTTTAATCAGCAAAACACCTGGCATAAATAATCACATGGGGGACACCGGAAGTTACCCGCTTGGGTTTGGTGGCACAGCCCTGAGACTTTGAGCGGAAATCCTGACTCAACCACGGCTGTGTGTCCTTAGGCTGTTTTCCTGATCTCTCTGAATCCCAGTTTTCTCATCTTTAAAAACGGGGGCGCTGCTACCCGCTTTTCAGAGTAGCTGTGATGATTACAATAGGTGATGCCTGTAAGATACTTGGCTCAGCTCAGAGCAACCTGGAGCCAGTCAGGCAGCTGCCGCCGACCTGTGCCACTACACTCAGAGCAGCAGCCTTGTGGCCAGCTTCACGGAACACACCTCGCAAAGGGTAGCGACAAACGAGACACCCGCCAGAGGAGAGCACAGGTCTGCTTCTGCCTGCATCCCTTTCGGCTCTGGTTCTCTGCAATTCCGTAGTCACGAAGTTAAACTGTAAATGACCATCACAGACAAGTCGACTCTGCGTTTGGGTTGTGGTCAAGGCTGCTCGGTTTGCAGAAGCACCCCAGGCAGCAAGCATTAACTGATGCCGTCTGCGTTTGTGGGCTTCCAGTCCGGTGCCTGAAAAGGGAACGAAAGAAGATACTGACTCACTCTAAGAGCACAGCAAGAGGCGGCCGTGGTCACCTGTCTGTAAACGGGTTACGTGCCATCTCTCGGCGCTGGGTCCGCGTGGAGCGGAAGCTCCGTTAGGGTCAATGCCAGCATGCCCGCTGTCCCAGCAGAGGAGGAGGATAATGATTAACAAGCAGCATTACACTGCCAGGTGGGGTGAGGCCCCCGCCCTGGGACCCTGCCGGCTTCTCAGCTCGCCTCACCCCTCCGCATCATCCTCGACTCCAGCCGTGGCAAACCGCCTGCCGCTCGCGCCTCCAGGTCTTCGCTTACGTTCTTTTCTCTGCCTTGAAGGCCTGTTCTCCTCGCCAATCCCGGTGTTTCTCTATCTCAGAGACAAGGTCACCTGTCCCCCAGGCCCCGCCCCATCTGAAATAGGTGCTGCCTTCTAGGTCACCTCGCCCCCTTCCTTCCACTTAGCCACACGAGTAAAATCGCCTGTTTCATCGTCCTCTCCCTCATTGGCCATAAGAGGCTGCTTTGCTGCTTTGCCAGAGGCCAGAATCTTGACAGCCACAATCACATCCTGAAGTGGCCGTGATTCCAAACTAGGACTTAGGAACGTGATCAATAGAATTGTTGGGATGAACCCACGCTCTAGCACGAAAAGGGCAGGCGATTTATTGGAGTGAGGATGGCGTCAACGTGTGTACTAAGACCCAAAGGAATGAAAAGCATACCGTTTTCTCTGTGCCCAGGAGCACCCGGGCTTGGACCCTGCCCAGAAACAGAATCACACCCTCGTGCAGTTCCCAGTGTCAGCTGGTTTCCAGTAGCACCAACACACTGTGTCACAGTACCGATGGGAGTTGACTGTTTCTTCCTCGGCCCAGGGAGTGCCTCCACTGTGGGTTCTATTTCTTACTCGTTTCTGAATCCTCCACGCCCTGCCTGGTACTTGGCTTAATAACCAGCGTGGGGAGACTAGGGCAGGACTGGTGGGTAGCACGGGGACTCTGCTTCCCATCAGGCATCCTGGAAAAAAAAAAACAAAAAAACCCCAAAAAAACGCAGGCTCACCTGTCTCATCTCACCCCAGGAACAGTCACCCCGGGCACACAGACTCCGAGTCCAACCAAGGCGCCGGCCCCCAAATATCCACAGACAGGTAAGAAGGTGCGTTGGAAAGAGAAACCCAATACCACAGGCAGGAAACGTAGCTTTAGGGGCAGGGCCGCGGTGGGACGGGGGTGCCAGAAGGCAGACTAAGCTGGTTATCGTGCTTTATTGGTTCCAGCAGGAAAACTAGGCCTTGCTGTGCTGTTAAATTGCCCTGTGATCTTGGATAAATCACTTCCTCTTTCTTGGCCACTGTTTCCCTGTGGATTTTGAGAACTCTTTATCTTCAAGGTGTTACGATTCTCTGATTGTCTGTATAACCCAAGGCCACTTCGTTCTGACTTTTTGGAGGCCATTCTTGCTCCTCACAGGTGGTGTCTCTGCAGCGTGGCCATTTACCCCTGGAGAAGAGCCAGCCCTGGACCCAGGACCCCACCAAGTTCAAGTTTCAAGTATGTACCAGCACCCTATCACTCTGTTGCTTTTGTTTGTTTTGGACGAGGTAGTACAGTATAATAAAAAGACGTTCGTTTGAAAAATTTAGATTCGCACTGCTGGGATTCAAATCTTAGCTCAACCATTTACTAGTGAGGTGGCCTCCGGCACTCAACTTCCAGAATTCAATGTCCTTGGCTATAACGTGAGGGTAATAACAATTATTATGGGCACTAAAAATGTCCTTTTCTCCCCACAAGGTTTTGTGTTAAGTAAGAAAGTGTGTGTGGAAGTGATCTCTATAACTTCATTCAGTCAACTTTTATTGAGCGAACGCCTGTTGAGAATATGCCCTTCGCTTGGCAAATGGAAGCTGTTCTTAAAATGAGCATGACATTAGCAGAGGGAGAAGAAGGCGTGAAGGATGACTCCAAAATTCGGTCCCCGCTCACTGGGTGCGAGTTCCTTGTGCTCTGTTTTAGAGGATACCCGGCCTTTCCCATCGTCCCTGCACCCTGCATTCTAGAGGAAGCTTTCCTGCGCTTGGGCCTGGGTTTTCGGGAGTCCTGACGGGAGCTCAGGGCTTGTGGTTTGTGCTGCATTTTCCCAGCTTGTGGCTGTCTCTCTCTCTCCTCTTTTTGGTTGAGCCAGTTTCTGTAAAAGGGAGAAATTGATACAAAGTGAGTCCTTCAAAGCTGGTTGAGCCCTCGAGCCCCTCCCAGTCTTGGATGCCTTTCTATACTAGTTTCCCGAATGTCCGGACCATCCTTTTGTATGTCAACGGGGCATTATTAAGCGGCTGGAACCTGCACAGTGTCCTTTGTCACATCACCCCTGCTCTGCCTCGGCCCCACTTTCGACCTGCAGTGAATGGTGAATGGGCCATTTAGACACAAAGATGTGATTATGCTACCGCAGAAAATTATAACCCCTTTTCTTCCTCAGGTTCAGGAGAAATACACTAGGGTGCAGGTGGCGGTAGCTGTCAGACTGAGTTTTAGAAAACAAGTTGACTATATTTCTTTGTTTAAGTGTCATTAAGCCTGCTCCAACTCCTGGCCACCCCGTGAGTGACGTCCACAATGTCCTGTCCCACGGCCCTGCTCAGCTCCTGTAGGTTCTTTTATGGAGTCATTCCATCTCAGATTTGGTTTTCCTCTTTTCCTGCCAAATTCAATTTTTCCCAGCATTATTGTCTTTTCCAAAGAACCCCATCTTCTATATCTACCTGTGTCTGTATCTTTATCTGTATCTCTATCTATATATCTACCTGTGTAGCTCTATCTATCTATCTATCTATCTATCTATCTATCTATGTAGCTCTATCTATCTATCTATCTATCTATCTATCTATCTATCTATCTATCTATCTATCTATTTATCTATCATCTGTCATCTCTCTCTCTCTCTCTCTATCCATCCTCTATCTATCATCATCTGTCAACCCATCTATCCATCCATCCATCTATCTATCCATGAGAAATGTAAGTATAAATTAACAGGGTTCTGGCACCTTCTAGTAAACGATTCTGCCCATCCACAGAAAAAGTATGCCACAAGGCCTGCAACATTCACTCATTTGTCCACCCAACAAATACTTATTGAGCTCCTACTCAGTGCCAGGCACTGTGCCATGCCTATTTTAAACTTTTCATTGTAATAATTCTGCAAGGTAGGTAATGTATCCTCATTAAGCAATTTTAGTCCTACAGATAAGTTTTGGACCCAGATCTGTCTAATTCCAAAGCCTGTTCCATGTTTCAGATCCTCGTTTAATATTTCTTCCTCAGCGAAACCATCTCTGATTTCCTCCAGGACCTGGACCCCCACTTCCCTCCACCTACCTCTCAAAACTCTCACAGCAGCTTTACTGGGCAGTGGTCAAGCAGCAGCCATGTTTGCACGTCTGTCTCAGAGCCACCTGAGATCAGGGGCCAGATTATATTCACCTAGCACGGTCCCTAACAAAGGGAAGATACTTTTTAAATTCTTATTGATTCGAATGGTCTGACACTGTGTCTTCTAGGGTGTCCTCAGTGGTTCCTCAAAGAGGGGGCCATGCCGGCAGCTCCTCTCACCCCGGCCTTCCAGAAGCTCAGCCCTTGCCTGATGGAGCTATGCCGCTTTTTCCAGCAATGCCTCTGCCCGAGTCAGAGGAGGGACCCCAGGATGGAGGCCACGAGGTAACCGGGGCCAATTGCTGTTTTTCCAGTATTTATAGGCTTCTTCTTCTGCATGGCTTCTCTGCAGGCCACAGGTGTGAGGCATTAAATAATCCACAGGGAGGTGACAAGGGTACCTCAAAGAATGGACTTTCCAGTGAGTCCTCTACTAGACTGTCACTTCCTTGAGAGCCAGGATGGAACCTCATTCATTTCTAGGTCCTCAGAACCGAGTACAGAGCCCGACATCAGTGCCATTGAGTCAAGCTGGGTCGAGTCCAATTGAATCAAGTCGGGTTGAATTGAACTGTGTCACATCTGATGGAATGATTACAGAGGATATTGAGTGGTCCCTAAACTCAAATGCCCTCAGCCCGTTGAGATTTGCCAGAAGATAATAAGCAGAGAATGTGTCCCTCTAAATTCCAGTTCTTTCATAAACCCTTAACAGTCATTTGCAGGCCAAATGAGAAGGTTGTAAAAAGAAAATTAGAAGGCAGACCCCGTCTTATATTAAGAAAGTCTAGGTGTGGACATTTTCCTGCTCTGGGACGCTGACAAGCTATCTTTTCTCCTGGAATTTATCCTTGACTATAAACAGAAAACCAAAATAAAAAAAATAGGTGAATACCTCTGCTCCAGGGGACTGAGGCTGGCCTCCCAGAACTTTGATGTTATTTTCAAAGTGTTCTCATGAGATCCTTCAGCTTTTCAGATCTCCGTTATCCACTGGTTCGGAACACCAAGTTCAGGTTTTCAGCCTCTATGCATCACCCCTTTCTGGCCCTGGTGTTGCATCCCTCAATGAGTATGGATGATCCCTCCACCCAGAGAGGGAAATAAGCAAGAGCCATAGACCCAGCAGGGTGGGAGGGTCCCGGGTGGGAGGGTCCCATTCACATACGAGGGTAGCGGCATTCTTGCCTGTATTTCCAGATTGTTGTCAAAACAAATGGAAATGAAATGAAATAATATACTCGATCTCCTGCACAGTGCCCGGACAGCGACACTCAGTGGTTGCTGTTTGATGAAAATAGGTTTGTGGTTGTTGGTGCCTTGTTCTCTTGCCCACTTTCATAGCCAGACTGGAAGCCCATCTCCAGCATCCTTGACGTGTTGTTGCTGAGGCAACCAAATACCCAGTGGCCATGTCGGCTGTTGACTAAGCTTGACATGTCAGTTATTGACCAAAGTTTTAAGATGTCACCTTGAGGGTAGGAGATCACAGGCTGACAACAGAAGTAGCCCTGGTGGTGTTTATCATTCCGCTCAGCTCTCAGATCCACTCCCTGCTCTTTCTCCAGTCTGCTCTGCAATGCGGGGGGCTGGCTGGTACAGTCTACATTTCCCAGAATCCCTTGCTGGCCAGCTTCCTGTAAGTTTATCCAATAGATTAAAAAAAAAACCAGCAGGAGATCATAGGGCAGGAGAGGGGAGGAGAGAGGGGGTTTCTCCTCCTTGATTTCTACTTCAAATAATATTTCCCATTGGTTCTTTCTAACCTCTTTATAGGTTAAATTCTTCAAACCCTTTTACAGCTAATTTCCAGTATTAAATTCCCTCTTCAGAACCACCTGGGTTCTGTTTTTCTTAGCTGGGTCCTGACTCATGTTGGTCTTATTGCCTATTATAATGGCAGTGGTTCTGGCTTGGGGTGGATTACCTGCGTTTAAAATCCAGCACTACCACTTGACAGCGCATGTCCTTAGGCAAATTCGTTCCTCTCTGTGCTCTAGTCTCCTCGGGTTTACAGTGGCTTATAAATCGAAAGTGATAGAACCTGGGAAATCCTTATAGCAAGCTTTCCTTGAAGTGTTAGTTGCTCTAGTAACTAGAGCAACTAGTAACTAACGAGGACAACTCACTAGTTATTCTAGTATTCTAGAATCACAGAATGATAGCGATGGAAGAGAAATTAGGGAAAGCCGAGCCTAACCTCCTTATACAGCAGGCGTGGGTGAAAAAGGAAGTGAATTCCTGGAGTCCTGCAGTGAGCTAGTGACACAGCCAGCCCTGAAAACTCTTCTCCCTGATAATGTGCCCAGTGCTCTCTGTGCTGCAGTCCCGTGAAGCAATCTGTGCAGCCACCAGCCGAGGGCAGGGTGTTATTCTGCAAAGTATCGGCTGCATCGTTAATTATAACAGCACTGTGCTCTCTCTCCATCTCTCACACACAAAATAGATAAATGGACATCATCGTTTATTGAGCACCTATTATAAGCCAGGCGCTGTTCAGGAAATTTGCAAATGCTACCTCATTTAATCCTCATGATAACCTATGAGTTATTGTAGGTTCTACTACTGCCTCTCCTTTATAGATGAAAAAGCCAAGGCCCAGAGAATTAAATAATCAGCCTGAAGTCACACACTCTAGTAAGTAATGATGCTAGGACTAAAAATAAGTCTTTCTGACTCCAAAGTCTAAGCATTTTCTGACTCATCCTCATTCTGTACCTTTCCTCCCACACCCTATAATGATGGAGAGGGGATTCTTTGCTGTGAATAAATGGCCATTATCACTTTTTAAAATTCTGGTTGTCTTCTAACAACCACAAAAAGATGGTGATTGCTCTCAACTGTGATTTGAATGTTTAGGTCCTGTCTTGAATACTATTCCTGGTTTCTGAAGAATGCGACATACATCTGTTGGAAGGCGAAGAGGGTGTCACACTCACACAGTAAGTATACGGGTTGACTGTGCTTTAACTTGGCAATAAATGCATTCTGGGAAGGGTTCTAGAATGCTGAGTGACCTTCTTGCCTTCACAGGGAGCCAGTCATGCACTTAGTCATCACTAATTCTAGACAAAAAGTTTAGGATGTTTCTGATTCCCCTTCACCTGTCAGTTTGATGTTTGCAATAAGATATATATATGTGTGTATGTGTGTGTGTGTGTGTGTGTATGTGTGTGTGTGTATTTAAAAAAATAAAGGAGGAGTGAACCAGACAAACACTGATGCTTTCTGTGTGACCTTATCTTCCCTGAGTCCCCACGTAAGCTAAAAATACAAACAAACAAAAAATCAAAACAGAAGACAGCCCCCACATATATACCCAAATTCCTGACCAAAGCAAATGTATACAGATAATGCAAGGAAAAGCAGGCGGCATGAGGTGCCGGAGGCGGGGTTGCGGGGGTGTGTATGGCACCTTGCTCCTCGCTCCTCGTCCTGGTGGCTTCAAAGCCCCATTCGCTCTCAGAGATGCCCAGCATCTTTGTTTCTCTCCAGTTCCTGTAACAAGAGTGGCTCATCTGGTCCCCAACCCAGTTGTTTGGCCATTTTATTTGCCATCTACCTGCACTCTCCGGTCAACGGACTCTGGCTTCCTAAAAAATCATGTACTCTGTGAAAAATCCCTTCTTAATGTAACCCAAATAAATATAAGGTGGGCGCTTGTACGGCCCAGCCTTGGCAACGTTTTACATTAAAAAAAAAAAAGAAAGAAAGAAAGAAACGTTTAGCCAACCGATTCTTGAAAACGGCAACAGGGAACCATGAGATCGCTTCTCTGTCGCCCTCATTTACGTCTCGCTCCCCACAAGCTACCGTCTCAAAGCCTCTCTCTGGGCTTTGTTTTCCAACATATCACTCAATAACTCTCCTAAAATCAAGCTTCCTGGCTCCCTCTTGGTTTCCGTGTACCCCCTCCGTTTATTTTCATTTCCCTTTGTGTCCACACTTTCTTCTCTCTCGAATACCTTCCCTTCTTCCCTACGCACATCCCTCACCCCACTTCTGTCTTCTCTTTCCATCCGCATCTTGACTCTGCAGCGCGGAAGCCAGCGCCTGGGGGCGGGGCGTCGGGGGCTCAGCATCCAACGCAGAAATCCCCTTCCCAGGTGTGGCGAGGAGGAACAATGAATCTCACAATGGCAAACTACTCATAATTGAATAGCTCTTCCTCTGTCCTTGCCACATTAAAATCGCCACACGGACAACATATTAGATTCACTGCACGACGTAATGAGTTTAGATTAGCTTTATGCAAACTGGAGAGATGAGGTAGACGCAGCCAGGTCTCAGAAAAACATCGCCGGGCAGAAAGTAGAGAAACAAGGGCTGCTTTCCACTCGACTGAGCTGCGACCTAGCAAGGGGGCCTCACGCACGTCCTCTGTAATCGTGCAAGTGGAAAGGGCTGACGGGTGGCTCGCTGCCCGTGACGCACGCCCTCGCCCATCCCTGGCGCTGTCAGAATTCGTCTCTGTTGCGTTTCCTTCTCAAGACTTGAGTTTCCTCTCTTTTTTTTTTTTTTTTTTTTTTTTCAGCCTTGAAACAAAGATGCCTTGAGAACATATGCAAGTCTGTGTGAGGCCTGGAAAAAACAATGGGACCTGACGATGCATGGGGTGACCTCTCGTGGCCCTGGCCCCCGGCCCCAGCTGGCTGCCTTTACAGACTTCACCTTGGCCCCACCAGACCGTTGGTTAATTGCAAGCGGTTCTTTCTGGAAGTAGCATTTCTTTCTCTCCTGTGAATCTGTGCGAGACATCGAAGGTGGAAGGCCACACGTTAGAAGCTTCCCAGTTAACGCAGTAACGCCAATTCCCCTTCCTTCTCCAAGGTCACAGAAGCCTAGTATTTAGGCCCAGGAAACGTCTGTGATGCTCGTAGCAATCCTGAGACTGGAGAATGGGCCGGGAGGGGGAAATGCTAGTTTGAACAAACCGGTCTGGACACTGGGGCTGACAGTACTTGATAACAGAAGGACACATGAGGAAACCTGAACCCACCCTCGGGGGACATTCACACATGGTTTCTCTATGCAGTTAACTCACACTTGGTCTGTACAACTAGCCAGACCGTGGTACTATGGCACCCAGGTGATCCTCCAAGCCCAGGGTCGGAGGTGATGAGAATGTTTCCTCAGGAAGAGGTGGAGAAAGCTGTTTGTATTGATGTCTTGTCTGGATTCCTTGTTGGTGTGTCCCCACTGTATTTGGGGTGGGGAGGGGCGCAGTCCCTAAGAGCCTCTTCCGGTTCAATGATTCACTAACAGGACTCACAGAACTCGGAAAAGTTGCTATATTCCCATTCACCATTTATCACAGCAAAAGGATACAGATTAAAATCAGCAGAGGTAAAAGGTGCAGAGGGAGGGTCCAGGAGACCCAAGCACGAGCTTTTAGTTGTCCTCGCTAAGTCAAGTCAGCACTTATCCTCCCGGCAATGGTGGGTGACAACATGCATGGAGTATCGTCGACCAGAAAACTGATCTGAGCCGCAGTGTCTGGGGTTTTTATTGGGGTCGGCCATGTAGGTATGAAGTACGGCTTGGATGGCCTTGGTTAGTCCACCTCCAGCTGCTCCAGAGGTCAGGCTCCTCTGCGTGCTCCAAGGCCCCCGCTGCAGAGCATGTTGTTCGCTCAGGCCATCTGGCGTGGCCCAAAGCCTCAGGTACAGGGGTGCTCCTGCCAGGCAGCCATGCTTGTGGTTTAGAGGTTACCTCCCAGGAGCTGTCCAAGGCCAGCCCTTCCTTTGGACGACGCGGGGCTTGAATGCCTAGCAATGCTGAGTCAGCCCCTGACTGCACAGCCCCTCACTGAGGTGTCTGTTCCCTTGATCGTACCAGGCCCCTTTACACTGTTCCCAGGTCTGCAGTGGCTCCGATGTCCCCATAAAGGCTGAGTCTCTATGCACAGCATTGCTAAGCAGGTCTGCTCCCTCCTGGGGCCCTGCGAGGACCCCTGGTTCCTCAGCACGGGGACAGCTCTCCTCCCGACGTGCTGAGTTCTGGCTTCAGTCTTTCACCTTAGCGCGCCCAGCCATCCGTTTTCTACCCCTTTGTGACCTTTGCCCACCCTTTGGTGAGAAAAGTCACTGTCCATTTGGCATGCAGCTAGAAACAGTATTCCCCAGCCGAAGACACCTGAGTGCCTTTGAACTATCTGTGAACATTGTTGTTACGGAAGCAAAGTTTGAACTTTGGGGAGAGAAGCAGCCAGACGCTTCCCCGTCTGGTCAAACCCAGAAAGATTTCTTTTTAATCTCCAGAACTTGAGAGACCCTCAAAGCTATGCAAATGTCAAGCACATAAATACCTGTTGTCATGATTTAAGGGCCTGCAAAAGGCCCTCTAGTTTGCAGAGCTGAGAAGGGCACAGTACATTTGCTGGGGCGAAGGGACACGTATCTGAACAGAAATCAAAAAAACAGGGCCATTCTTCAGGTGCCAGTTAATTTGATCAGACCCCCTCTGATGAAGTTGAGGTTAACCGAGGACATTGGCAGGAAGGGTCCTGGAGGCTCCCCAAAGAGTAATTCGTCACCAGGGCGTGCGGAGGATGGTCAGGTGACTCGGTCCCGACACTTGGCTATCCGCTTGTGGAGAAGCCCGTGTGGACCCCGCCATGCCCTGCTTAGGGAGAGTGACTGAGCATGACGATCACTTGTAAAAACCCAAGCCTGGAGGACTCCTGAGGCCCATGCTCTGACCCCACAGCAGGGACAGAGGCTCAGGGGACCTTATGGGACTGTTTTCCAGGGTCACACCACTGTCACAACCGCAGCCATCACAGGAAGAAAACGGGCCCAAGCACAAACTGACCAAAGCCTGGAGCCCAAGGTCTCCCGGACTTTAAAAGGCGTTTTGTCCCACCCCGAGCTGGCTAAGTCCTGACCGGGGGGATGCTTAGGCAGCGAGGAGGCCTTGGGGTGCTACCACACTGGAGTCCCTACTAATTTGTGGCCACCAGTGCTTCACTGAGGAGACAGTTATTGTTCTCCAGCTGATGAAGGTGACTGTGCAGTTACAGGTGCAGCATCATTAAGCAGGATTCTTCCTGAAGATAAAGGCACAGGTGCATTTCCGTCTATTTGGCAAGAGAAAGAGAGGGAGCAGGAGGAAGAGGGGGAGGGGAGGG